AAAAAAAAAAAAAAAAAAAAAAAAGGAACAAACATGCCAGAGAGCAATGATGTTGTGAAAGAGCATCATGGAGGCCATAAGCAAATGATCACTTTCTTGAATGCACCTGACCACTATTACAAGGAGAGGGAAACGTTGTTGTTTCTCCTTTTTTTATGGTTTTGTTTTTTTCTTCCTGGCCCTGCCAGCAAGGCAGCACATATTCCTCTTGCTCAAAACGCCCTCGCTGAGGGCATACTCACACTAGTCGCGTTGAAATGCATCCAACCACTTTCACAGCCGAAGCGTTGTTGGCTTTTTTTTTTTGTTCTTTTTTTTAGAGTCCGACAGTCCTGCCCCTCGTGTTCTACGTTCAGCTGAAGTGCCCTCACTGAGGGCAAACTCGCACGAGTACTCCAAAAAGTGTATCCAACTGTAATCACGGCCAAAGGCTTTTGTTTTTGTTTTTCTTTTTTTGAGAGTCCGACAGTCCTGCTCCCCGTGTTCTACGTTTTGCGGAAGTGCCCTCACTGAGGGCAAACTCGCACGAGTACTCCAAAAAGTGTATCCAACTGCAATCACGGCCAAAGGCTTTTTTTTGTTTTGGGACGTACGGATTTGAGATGGGCCCAAAAATTCGAAAACCTTCTGACGCTCCGACCCTGCCCCGAACCCGCCTTTTACTTCTTGTGGCGACAAGTTATTTTGCTGCAAGGCTGAGGCCGTGTACTGGTGGCTTAAGACCGCGGAGCCCCTACCACACACTGACGACCTCTTGGATAGAGTGCAGGGATGTCGGTACTTTACTAAGATAGATCTAAAGTTCGGATACCATTAGATTGCTATTAGACCTGGGGACCAGCGCAAAACCGCCTTTCAGACCAGGTACAACCTGTACGAGTTTGTGGTGATGCCCTTTGGCCTATGCAATGCTCCTAGGACATTCCAACACGCAATGAATCGGATCTTTCACGAGTACTGTCCAAGTTTATTGTCGTGTACCTCGACGATATTCTTATCTTTACTAAGACTGTAGAGGAGCACGTTGAGCACGTGAAAACAGTGCTAGGGCTCCTAACACAACACCAGCACAAGGTCAACCTCGAGAAATGCGGATTTGGTCGCACCAAGATTTTGCATCTGGGTCATGACCTTTTCGCGGATGGTTTGACGCCGGATGATGCTAAAATGGCCAGCATACGTGACTGGCCCAGACCTCAGTCTGTGACCATGTTGAGGTCATTCTTCGGGATGACAGGCTATTATCGACCATTTGTGAAAAATTATAGCACAAGCGTGCCTTGACACCCATTAGGAGTGGACCGAAGAGTGTGAGGCAGCCTTGAAGAGATTGAAGTATGCCCTGATGCACTATGAAGTCCTTAAGCTTCCAGATCCTGAACAACCTTTTGTTGTGACCACAGACGCCAACCAATATGGCATAGACGCAGTCCTTGCACAGAAGGAGGGCAAAAAGTTAAGGCCGATCAAGCACATGAGCAGAAGATGCCATCTTAGAGAGAGAGAGAGAGAGAGAATCGCTATCCCCCCCTCTACACGCCAAGAAAGTTGCAATAACGAGAGCCCAAGTTCGAACGCAACGCTCTTGCGCCCAAGCGAGACACACACACAGAGAGAGAGAGAGAGAGAGAGAGAGAGAGAGAGAGAGAATCGCTATCTTCCCCCCCCCCCCCCCCACTACGCCAAGAAAGTTGCAATAACGGGAGC